ATGTATATTTTTCTAGCTATTTATTTTGTTTCTCATTACTAATTTTGTTTGTGGTGTCTCGCTTTTACTTGATTAGATGAATGTTTGGCAATATATTGATCTTTTCAAATGAAAAGACTTTGATTTTAGATCATTTTTGTCATATTTTTTATATTGCTTTTGACTTAATAAATATTAATTATTTGTATTATATCTGTGATTTCTTGTTTATTTCTCAACATCTTTGAATGTTTAATTAATTTATGTTAGGTCTTTGAAAACATATACATTTAAGGTAAAATATGTTATTTGGCTTACTCTTTGGTTGTTCTACAGATTCAGTATACAGGGGTCTAACTAATGTTCATGTATAGGTAGTTTGAAATTTTATTTTAGTTATTTTAAAAAAAATTTACTCCAGAGACATCTTAGAAGAAAGATCCCAAGTGAACACATTTCTTTTAAATATTTTTTAAATTTAATATTTTATATATTTTTGTCAGTGAATGTAGCCAGCATAAGTTTTGCTCTCTGGAATTTGTTAAAATTTCCTTTGTGGCCTAATCCAAGTTCAGTGTTTATGAATGTCTTAAGGATGATGAAAAGAATGTCTGTTCTCTCTTAACAGGAAGAAAGCTCTAAATAGATTTGTTTGATTATTCTTGCTATTTGTGTTACCTGAGTTCTCTAAAAATTTATTTATTTATTTTTGGCCACTTAATACACTTGTGAGTTAAGAATATTAAACCACACCTTTGTGATTGTGGATTTTTTTTCTTATGTTTATATTAACTTTGCTTTATAAGTTTTGAAGCCCCATTGTTAAGTGTATATGGGTTTATAACTGTTTTATCTTCTTTGTATATTTTTATCAATTTAAAATATCCATTTTATTCCTTTTAATTACTTTTATTTTGAATAATGTCTTGTTAGATGTGATTATTCCTATACTTGCCTTTATTTGGCATTTGTCACTTTAAAGACTCTGAATATATTAGAACTGGGTAAACTGATGTTGTTGGTTCAACAAATAACATCACTCAGTAACACAATTGTGTTTTTCTTTTCCTGGGAGTAGAGAATCTTAACTTCCTTTAATTTACTTGGATTTTTTAATGTGTTTGTTGGCCCTGCCATCATCATTCATATTTTTCTTGGGGTCCCAACTCCTACTTTGCCAATTAGAAATAGTTGTATTTCAATCTCTTTTTATTTTTTAAAAATTGATTTCAGTTTTTTGTAGCCATACACAAAACAAGAAAGCATTTCCGCTGACTTCTTTCATATTGGCTGGCTAGAACTAGCCAGGATGTTTTCTTAATTTTGTTGCTTATTTGTCCTGGGTTATTAGAGTGGGTACTTGACTTCCCAGAATAAGACCTTTTCTCCCTGTTTGCAATTTAAATTTTTTCATGTCTCTTTGAAAAGTGGAGTGAATGTATTAGGGCTAATGATGCTATTTGAGCTATTCAGAAAGAAGTCTTAAGTATGTTGTACAGTGTACAAAATATAGGACAGTAAAGGGCTGAATATGCAGGAGTAGAAATGCATTAGTATGGTATGTGTTATTGATGTGTCCATGTAATTTTACTCATCTAGGTAAATTAGAAAGAATCTGGCAACAGTTTCTAAAGATAGCTAATGGATAATACTCTGTAACCCTTCTTCTGTCATTGGAATATACTTAACTAGTTAGTCAGCATCTACTAATGTTGTAACTCACATATTGCTTCATCTGAGGCTGTCAGAGCTAAGAGAACCACCCAATATTTCTGACAAAAAAGATAAAATAAAATATAAAAGAAAACCCTCAGCTTGACTCATGGAAGTAAAAGCAAATGTGTTAATAGAAGTCTGAGAAATCAGAAAATGGGAAGAGAGTGAATAACAAAACTGAGCAATACTTCTCAGGGTTCAGTAAAATGACTCCTGAAGGTGATGTTATAACTGTTTTCTGCTCTAAAAGCCTCAGGAGGCCAGGTGTGATGACTCATGCCTGTAATCCCAGCACTTTGGGAAGCCGAAGTGGGAGGATTGCTTGAAGCCAGTTTCATTACATCTGACCAGCCTGGACAATATAGAGAAACTCAGTCTCCACAAAAACCAAACCAAAACAAAACAAAAACAACTGGGCGTGATGGCATGCACATGAAGTAGTTCCAGCTATTGGGAATGTTAAGGTGGGAGGATACACTGAACCCAAGAGTTTGAGGCTGCATGAGATATGATGATGCCACTGCACTTCAGCGTGGGTGACAGAGTGAGATACCACATGAATACATAAATAATTAAATAAGAAAGCAAGCCTCAGGAGATTATCATAGAAATACATTTTGAAGACTAAAATAAAAAAGGTGTACAAATTTGATATTTATATCACAGATTTAATGAAACTCTACTTTTTTTTATTTAAAAAGATAATGCATACTAGCATATCAAAGACTGGTAAGTTCTGAAGTGAAGACAATCATTTAATTTGAAGTTATTATATTTTCCAAACTTTTAAAACTCTAAAAACTTCAATTTTATAAATCGTCTATTACAATTTAGCAGTTCAGAAAAGGTGATTTGCCATATTATGTGATTTTCATGGACATGTCATTATATAATTTATATTTCTATCCTGTAATAGAAATATGATAATATATAAAACTTTACTATTTTAGGTAAATAAGTAAAAATAAAAGCTGTATTTTTAAATAAGCCAAATATATCTGATATATATATATATATATATATATATATATATATATATATATCACATAACTAACCTGTTTCACAGGTCATATATAAAATGACTTATGTCATCACTTTCATCTTTTTGGCTAAGATCAAGTGTAAAACAACTTATGTCCTGGAAAAAAAATTACCGTTGACTTGTTGTAAAAGCTAACTTAAAATATTTAAATTAAAATATTTTGGGAGGTTAAATTTTCCTGCAATATCTTTGGTTTAGGATTCTAAGAATGGCTAAAGAAGTTGAGTTTAAGTATTCCCTTCATAGAAATTATCCACTAACGTAATAATTAAAAATAATAAGCAGGACAAAATGTAGTAACTTATTCTGAACATCAAAATACTTTGAGGAAAAATGTAAATACTATGTTCTTGCTTAAGGAGGTAACTTCATTGATATAATTCTACTTATTCACCTGTCTATATATCTGGACATTGAAAAAGTAAATGTTTGATAGTTGTTGATGCTAGACAACTGGTCATTCTTGCACAGCATAACCAAAAAGTTGGCTACCATTCAACAAAGATTATAACAAAAGAAAAGCATTATTTCTGTGATGCTCAATAATAACTTACTGAGTTATCCATGATGGACAATTCTGTGGCTACATATCAGCTCAAGCCTCTAATAGGTTCCCCCATGACACATGTTTTAAGTTGGACAAGAATTTGTTATAGCTCCACAAGTAATACTGGACATAACATATATAAGCTGCCTGCTGGATATTAGCTGAATACTAAATTCTACATTGCCACTAATATTAGCTATTAACTATTGAGTGTGTATCAGAAAGACTGTAAATGAAAGAAATCTCACAGGTTATTTTTAACTCACCTCTGCATTTAAAGTAAGAGAAATTGAGCTGTGGAGAAATCAAGATAATTCATTGGTGATGGTGGCAGTTTTAGATCCTGGATTTTAATTCAGTGTTATTTCTATTGCATCACCTGGTTTTGAATGGCTTTCTATGATTCTATGGACACTGACAGAGTTGTTTTGATTTTTAGAAGATGATTTTTTGCATATGGTTCATATATAGCACCTCAACTTCAGTTTTATGTGAGCATATGCCCATTCATGTCACTTCAGAATAGAAGACTCTGGAGGATAGAGTCTGACAAAGCAGAGAAACCGGTTTCCTTTTTAAGATAAAAATATTTTGTACAATAATATATGTAAATATGTGTATCTGTGTATATATGTGTATATACTAGGGGTGCCAAAACATGTATATACATTTTAAGAGATATTATCTATAATAAAAATCAAAAATTAGTCCGATGTGGTAGCATGCACCTGTAATTTCGGCTACTTGGAAGACTGAGGCTGAAGGATTGCCGGAGCCCAGCAGGTCGATGCTGGCCGTGAGTGTGCCACTGCACTCCAGCCTGGGCGACAGAGTGAGACTCCCACTCAAAAAAAAAAAAAGCGATGTTATCTATGTATTACTTTTAGTTTGACATTATCAGAAGTATTGGACACTGATGATAACCACCTTGAGCACCTCTTGTAATTGCAGAAGTCAAACGTGACTTGTATTCATCTTTTGTTGTCAGTTTATTTTGAGTATTACAGTTTTAATGCAGTTTTTCCTTTATTAAAATGTGTATACATTTTTGGCACCCTCTGTATATAATGAGCATAAAAAATATAGTGTCAGAAGTATAGATTTAAAAAGCTACATTATTTTTCTCTTCTACGCATCAATCATCTACCTTATACTGGTTTTAGGTTTTCACTTATTTGTTTTCAGAGAATGTAAATTTGCTTAAAAATCAGTCAAATAAAAGGTATTTTGACAAGTAAGTTTTTTCTGGAGAAATTATTGCACACATGTACAAACAAACACACATATGCACACACATACAGATGGACTCAAAAATAAAACAACCATATGTAAACGTGTGTAGACACACACATATACACACATAAATATTCTATTTTATCTGTGTGGTGCTAATTCTATCAACAAAGATAATTACAAAACTGTTTCTAAAATTTGGATGTCTAAACACATCAATAGTATATATTTCCTACATTCCTTTTTTTAAATACTTATTTATGTCTCAAAACCTGTTTGTAGATGTCTTTGGAGATAGCATCTCTGGTTAGTTTGTGGTTGGTTTATATTTTCATTTTAATCTATTATCCACTGCTTACCTTGTAACCCCATACTTCAAGTTGTATTGGTCATCCAGAATTTAAGATTAATGAGAGGCATGGCTCTTTTTTGTCTTAGAAAACACTATTAAGACAGCATTCTAAACATTTGAGGGGAATAATATTAAAGTCATATCATAGTCTTTTTTAATGTTTTTCAAAAAGTTACTGGCTTCACAAACACCAACTATAGCATGATTTAGACAACTGAGAAACAGGCAAGTGTATTTTAAAATGCTAAAATAAAACATTTATACAAGTACAAAGCGAAACAATGGTGATAAAAATGTTAAACTTTATGAAAAAAATCATTTGCAATTCACATCAAAATAATTTAACATTCTCGATTATTTTAATAGTACAAGCTGCAACAACAGAAAAAGAACAGATACACGCACACAATTTTAAAACCAAATCAGTTATAAGTGCAGAAAAAAGTAAGTACAAGCACTTGTAGCCCACACAAATCTTTTAGGATTGGCACCATCTTTCTAAAACATCTATATTCTATATAGATTTCTAATTACAACACCATCAGCAGCTGCCATTGATTTCTAGAAATACACACAATATACATAGTATATTTGTTCACATTGGGAAGATCAGTGAAATTAGCCAACTATTTTATACATGCCTCATTCTTCAATAGACAGTAGAGAATTTTCCAGGCCTCAAAACCTATTCAAAGTGAATTCTGATTTATCTTTATGCTTTCACTGATCTGTATTTTTTCACAGTATAAAATTGTAAATGGTAACTATAGAGATTCTTACAGCTTAAGGGTTATTAATAAGCTGTTGCTAAATGTGAACTCAGATAATACCTTTGAAGTCTCCGAAACATGTACATTTTGCTGGGAGACTAGCATAGGAAATGTTTTTTTTTTCTTTTTTCTTTTTTTTAAAAAGAGTGTTTAATTCCTGGTTTGGAAGTCACAGAACTGCAGCAGAGTCATTATACAATTCATTTACAGTCAGAAATAGCTCCTAGTCTTCCTGATTACTTGCTGGTAGCAGCAGTAGTTTGGGAAAGACTGGTTCTTTCAAGGATTAGCACATTGGGGGATTTGCTTTTTTCTCTTGCTTCAATTAAATCTCTTATATTTTTTTCTTTCTATACTCCCTTTCTGTTCTCCACTCCTAGCCCAGAAAGGCAGTTCTCCCCAGTCCAGATATATCTGCAGGCCGCCTCCACTCCTCTCCCAGAAAAGAAGGACGAGTAGACTGCTAAGCCAGTAGAATTTGATCAAACCAGGTTTTCATCCTGGGGCAGTCTCACCTTTAGGGTCACTTCACTGAGCCTTAGCATTTCCCCTTCCTTTTAGTCATACTGGTCCCAACTGAATTAATATTGGGCACCAGGAGCAGATTGTTTTCAATGAAATTCAATGAAAATCGGTACCCAAATGAATTGTGAGGTTCATATCCTAGCCCTAGAATGAATATTCAGTTCTCTTTGTATTATAGAGTTATTATTGGAACCTGGTGTTAGAATTGGCAAAGAGACAGAGTTAGCATCATTCCAAAATAAAAGATCTCAAGAATGCACTGCTAGTAATCTTATGTCCAATATACAATGTATTCAATGAAATGGCAAAAGTTATACAGAAATACACAGAAAAAATATATCTTGTTCTCTTCTAATTGGGTAAATTCTTTTTATTATTACAGTTTATGATATGTGGAATTATCAGATGGCAATTTACTTGCATTAAATTTTAATTTCTAATGAAGTTTCTTATAAGGTAGTGTACTTTTTGAAGAGATATGTTACTAAAAAATTAGAAAATGAATTTGGTCATGGAGACAGTTTAAAAATGTTCTTTTATTGATCAATAGAGTGAAATTTATTGAACTTGAGAATAAAATTAAAATCAATATAAGGATTTCATGAAATAACTTTTAAAACATAGAGAGAATATATCTAGAAAAGTTTCAACGCTTAAGAAATCCAGATAGTAATCTCTAGGTGAATGCTACCCTTTTGATGAGGATTCAGGGGGTATTAATATGTCAAAATATTTACATTTGGTTTTTGGTAGAGGCAGACATTTGCTTTTAATGTAACCATGAAACTTAGGTAGATTCCACTTATGCTTCAAGAGCCTCATTATAATATTTGGGATCAGGGTGCTCTTAAGCTGTTATTTTCAAATCTGTCATGAGAGGTTTGATCTTTTAAAAATTAATATTTTATTAAAGTAATGTTAGTTTTTAATACTTTATATTGGGAGCTTTGACTTAAAATTTCAAATAAGAACAGATATCAGAAAGAAAAGTCAACAAGTAGTATGTTTATTATAACTGGTAGACGTGCAGACTTTCATTTCTCATTTTTCTTATAAGTAGATGTGAAATAAAAAATAGTTACCAAAAGAAGAATATTGAGCTAAAGAGTTTAATTTATTTTTCTCTCTGCTAAAAATATACTTCTGCCTCCCAGCAAATCTTTTTCATAAGGCTATCTTTAGTATAAGGCTAGGTCAACTGAAATTTAAATGTATAGGACACCTCCTCCTTGTATTACTATCCTTACTGAAAAATCAAAACATTTGGTACCTGAGGATAGCTGCTGCAATGGGAGGAAGAGATGACAGTGGATGCAGGTCTTAAACTATGAATTTTACCTATTTGAGAATATCAAAGCACGTGTGTTTCCATTATAGCTCTAGATTTCTTTTCTGCAGTTTTTAAAAAGTGACAGTATGAAGTGCACAAAATCATGTTAATAGTTATTTCTAAAAGAAAATATTAATAATTGCTTTGCCTCTTTTTGGAATGGCTGAGAAAGATTGTATGGTTGATATTTATTAAGGTTCCTCTGTTTTAGTATTCTGTATTGCTTTGAAAAATCTATGTTTGTCATAGTTCATAGCTGCCCTGATTAAGCAGCCAAGAATAGTTAAAAATCATTGCTCATTGGCACAGTTATCTCTCCACTAAGCTGACTTGACACAGTTTGAAATTTTCAGTGTATTAAGATTGTGTTAATTCTTTCAACAACAGTCCCTAGAATCATGACAATGTCTTCATTGGGTCTATGGACCACTCTTCCAAGTGGTGGAACTCAAAAAGAATAGAGGAGCTTTTTGTGCATCAGGTTCTCAAAAGAAAGGAATGAAGAAGCCCCAATGCGTATTTTAGTATTTTAGCTGGCAATGCTAACGGAACAGCATTCATAAGGAGGAGTGGCTGTGTTTCATGAAAGAGATAGCCAGCTGGAGCTCAAGAATTATTATTATAAAGAGAATTTCCAGCTACACAATTGCACCCCAGTGAGGGAATTACAAAACAGTATTCCAGAAAATATTTTTTTGCTACTCCAGTATTGATTGGCAACATGGTGAAATAGTCAAGAAATCTTCCACTGGTTTTCTTGGTTAATGGAGGTGAATCTGAAATAACTAGGTGGAATCCCCGATGCAGGCTTTTGGAAGAGTATTTCACAACCAAATTGTAGAGGAAAGTCTCTGGTAGAAGCCCTACACAGTACAACAGTGCAGCACTCACCATCCAGTCGTGTGTTATGCATGGGTCGCACTCACAACAATGTAAATACTGGGCCCAAGTTCCTGCTTTTCAAGGTCTTTAAAGGAAAGAGAGAGAGAGAGATGTTGGAGTTTCAGTCCCAGATTTTGAGTTTGTTAGAAAATGTACATTCATGGTTGGTGAATCAAAGACTCTTCTGGGAAAAGAAGGAAAGTAAACAAATAAAACTTTTTACAGTTGCTTATTAACTATGCTTTTCACCCTCCATGATGCTGTTTCACACTCACTCCTTCCCTAGCGCAAAGCACTTGGTATGTAACTTTGAACAGACTCCGTGTCAGCCCTCAAAAATATAAGCAGTGGTTCTTAAAAGCCCATGTTTTCTAAGGCCACTAGAAGAAAATCTGCCGAAAAACTCGTGGTTGGTGTCTTCGTCGGTTGTTGCGAAATAGCACGATTCATCTCATGTTTCCATAACAGGGTGTACTTGGCTTCTTCCACCTCGGTCTTAAGCAGGTGACTGCGTGTCACTGCGTCTGTGTGAACACCGGAGGTCTCGGCTCTGCACGCGGAACCCAGCGTGGCTTCCAGTGGCTTTCACAACGACGAGGAGCTCTGAGAGTAATCTCTTATGATAAGAGTGTCATATTTGGGAGACGACGGGATACAGAGGGCCGACTCGGACACTGGTGAGTTGGGGGTGGTACTCCCCGAGTCCACCGAGTCTCTGAAGGGGGACGGCGGCGTGAGGGCCACCAGCTCCTCCAGGTCTGGCTTGCCGGCCGCAGCCTCCGGCCCGGCCGCGGGGGTCTCCCGGGCAGTGCCCCCAGCCGCCGGGGCCCCCGCTGCGGGCTGCGCGCCACCGCCCGTGACCTCGATGGCCGGCAGGGGCTGGATCTCGGCGAACGTCGTCATCGTCGTGGGCAGCTGGATCTCTTTGGGGATCAGGTAGGACGAGCAGAGCGGGGCGCCCGCGCCGGGCCCCGGGGCCGCGGTGGACAGCATCATGGAGTTGAGCTCGCTGATGTTGGCCGTGAAGCGGGTCACCACGCTGCTGATCTGCTCCATGAGCGAGCCCTGCGACGAGCTGCTGCGCGCCGCGGGCTCCGAGTGCAGCGATGGCA